ATATATATATATATATATATATTTGTATACTATAAATACACACACACACACACACATTTATGTGATATCAGCAGCCTGACACTTGTGTGCGTCATGATGCACAGGATGTTCTGGTTCCTCACAGAGTCCAGCTCTGAGCCGGTCCCTGTGGTGTTAGCTGCACCAACATGACCATGGTCCATGAGGTCACCACGGGCAGATAAACACAGTCTGTGTTCACTGTGAGTGTGCACAGGAGAACTCATCACTTACACCAGCAGGGTTGGACACGAAGTGCACATTCATGGGAAGCAAAGGTTTGCATTTAGTGCAGCTCTCATCATATTTAACATCATGTCCTCCGCAGCCAGTGAGTGAAAAATTAAAGAAAAGCTCAGTGAAGCCTGACAGGAAACACCCTCTGAGGCTTCAAACAGAAAACCAGATCTGAGAGCGGAGAAACCCTGTCTGATCAGGACACATGAAAACAGAACAGCAGGCTGTTTTACAACAGAGAAACAATCAGAAACACCAAACTGATGGAAGTGGAACCAGTCAGCTCCAGTCCAGAAACACTGGTTCTCATCAACATGGAGTCCATGATGGTCCTCATGGACCTGGTTTCAGACAAGATGAAAGGATCAATGATCTGTTCATCATTTTTTACTTGAACAGAAATGAAGATTCAGAGCTGGAGGATACATCCTGACCTGACATCCCTCCGTTACCGTGGAGACAGTGGGCCTATCATCATCATCACCATCATCATCATCATCATCACCATCACCATCATCATCACCATCACCATCATCATCATCACCATCATCATCACCATCATCATCATCACCATCACCATCATCATCATCATCATCATCTCATCCTGACCTGTTCATAATGAGGCTTTACACGGTTAAAGGCCTGTGACGTCACATCTCCCCCCCCAGCAAAGGAAAGCTGTCGGTACCTGAAGCGCTCCTGGCCCGCCGTGTCCCACAGCTGCAGCTTGATCTTCACGCCGGGCTCGACGCCGAGCGCGCGGGCGTAGAAGTCCACGCCGACCGTGGGGTCCGCCGCGTCGCTGTAGACCCCGTCCGTGAAGCGCTTCAGCAGCGACGACTTGCCCACCGTGGAGTCCCCCAGCAGGATGATTCGGAACTGGTACTGCCACAGGGCGTCCATGGCATCACGGGAGGACGAGGCGCGCGTGTGTGAACAAAAAGCCCCTGCGCGCGCACGTCGTGTTTACCCGCGGCTGCTCAGGAGGAGACCGCAGCGGTCATGTGACAGCTGTACGCACAGGTCCCATCAAAACCAGCTCAAAGCTCCGGTCCTCAAACCCGCTCAGACTGGTTTTAACAACCTGAAGCCTTCAATCCGAGGCGCTGCTGTCCGTGGTTCTGAACTGGGCTCACGAGAATCCACTTTACACGATTTTAAAAACAGTTTTCTTCTTTTAAATCAATATAATCTACAATTAYTTCGTCTCTAAAAACAAATACGTGCTTATTAACGTGTAAAAATCAACCACTGTTGGTTTAAAAATGTTTAAAACATGAGGATTGGCGAGCGTCATAAAAACCCACAGAAAACTACATTTCCCATCATGCAACTGTGTTCACGTGACCTGCGTGGACCAATCACAGGTAGACAGCGAAAAAAAGAGCAAAGTGTGTCGTTGTTAACGTTTAAAAATATAAGTCTCTTCGAAAGCATGTCATAATGTTAGAAAACATTTTATTTTAAATTCATTGATAAATCCAAAAACAACTACTTTTCCCATCATGCAACCTTGTTCACGTGACGTGCGCGGACCAATCAGAGGCAGGCTCTGAAGCACCAGTTTATAAAAGCGGCCTGTACGACACATTTCGTTCCTTTCCACACGGTGCTGTGAGCTGACGGCAGGTCCAGCTTCGGTTCTGGTAAGAGCTCGTGTTTAGCTTTTCTTCTGTTCATAATTCGGTCTGTAAATGTCTTAAACCGTTCAGTAACAATAATCATGAAAATAACGCACGTGTAGCCGTTTTAGCTCGTAAGCTAACAGGCTACTTCGCGGTCACGCGGACCTTTCGCTGTTTTATTTGATGAGTGTCGTGACGTAATGACGTCATATAGTGGCTGAAATGAATTATTTAGACTTGGAAGGAACATGTGTGATGTGCGCGTTTATTTCTTTGCAGATAAAGAAATACTTAGAGATAGCATGCATGCTAATGTGGTAATGACCACGTGGTACGGCCTTGTTGATCATGTTATTAAATTATTTACCGTATTTGCTTTTGCATTGTCGTAATTTTCGTTTAGCTGTATTGAATCTGCATCTTTGAACCTGAGTTAATAGTTTTATTTTATTTTTTTACTAACTGCACCCTCCTCTTCCTCCAGGTGTCAATGCAGCTGCAGCTCTCAGGTCCAGAATGGTAGCAGCTGCAGAACCACGGTGAGTTTGTTCGCGGGGTTACCTGCTGTRTGTGTGGGGGTACCTGTGTACACCTGCCAGGTGTTTGTCTAAAGGCTCCTATCGAAGCCGTTTGTGCTTAGCGTAGCAGCAAGCGGTCAACAGGAAGCCGATAAAAAGACTTTCACCGACGGTCGCTGTTCAGTTTCAAAGTAACTGTTTCAGCAACATTTAGGGGAAGGACATTTGGAATAGGGGTGTCCCGATTCCAGTTTTTTCAAGACTGAGTACAAGTACGAGTACTTCAGTTCAGGTACTCGCCGATACCAAGTAGTGGGGTTAGGGTGGATTATCTGTTCAACTTGTTGAATATTAAACAGAATGAAAATGAAATG